CAATCAACCTATACCTCAAATTTGTCATTAATATTGACACTTGTCAAAAGGATATAATACTTGAAGAATCAAAAGAGTAATTGATTTGTTCGATAGTTAATGAACTCTTGTTTTATAATTTGTTTCAATTGCGAGCCCATTGTATGGGGCACCAGTTTTCAAAAATTCTTCATCAAAAGATTTCACATTTTGAAAAATTGAAAGAGGAAGAAATTTTTTTCAAACAAGACAATCTTTTGAGAATGAATGAGGTCCTTGAAGATGATGAGACTTGTTCTGCCTCAAATGAATAAATGAGAGGAAATAATAAGAGCCAAAGCAAGAAGAATAAACGGCATAGGAGAAATGGAGACATTCTTCGTTTACTTTCGAAGCAATGAAGTTTGAAATATCAAAAGACTTACGAACAAAACTCTCATACTTTGTTGTGACATCATCAACATCAGTAATAGATCATGAAGCATGCAATCACCTTAATAAGAATGGCTTGTGATTTTTGATAAATGATGCAAGAGTGAGACCAGTCAATGATGAAATTTTGGCACCTAAATAGGGATGAGTCATGAAAGTACCCATATTGGGGCATGACAAAAGACCCATATCATGTTGAGATAACAAGGTTCAGACCAAAAAGACATTGAGAATGAGCCTCACAACTTGGAGTGTCAGGGGAAGAACATGAATTTGAGAAGAGCTTACCTTGTAGAGCAAACCAGTTGAGCATCAATTAACTGTAGAGTCCTGGAAAAACAACTATGATAGCGCAAATGAGTTAAGGACAGAAAAGGGCATCAAGGTCATATTTCTGACCGTATCAAGAATTTAAGAAATGAAACATTTCTTATGAGACTTTAATGTAGATAAGAGGAAAATAAGAAACAAAGACATAAGATGATCAAATGACTTTTCAAAAATGCAAGCTTGAAATTATAAGTTGCTACACTAATATCAGAGTAAACCCTAGAGAAGATTGATCAAGTGAAAGAAGACTGAGTTCTCCACTTTGGAGTCAAAGGAAAATGGAATAAACATTTATGTATTCATGAGAACATCATTTGTATAAAAGAAAATACATTACATTGGTATATTTAATTGCATTCGCGTTTCACACATAAATGCATGGTTTTTACAGATCTTCCAATGAAAAGAGAAGATTCATGATGTCAATATCCCAAAAAGTGAAAGCTAGAATTCAAACCTCAAATAACATAGGGGCCCAATCCACAGAAGAAGCATTACTTTGAAGTGAGGCATGTTACCCGACCATTAAGATGCTTTCATATGATAATTTGAAAAATGAGAAAGCGATTTTCAAAGTTTCTCATTTAGTATTTTCAGAAAATGAAATTTTTGAAAAGTAAGAATGTGATTTCCAAAGTTTCTTACCTAGTAAACTATTTCCAAAATTGGTAAGTCCTTCGGGTCATCAATAAGTCTTTTGAGCATGATGATTAAATCATTCGGGTCATCTGTCAGTTTTTCGAGCAAGATGATAAGTCCTTCGGGACATCTATAAGACCTTCGGGCAAGCTACTTTCATATGATAGTTTGAAAAATGAGAAAGCAAATTTCAAAGTTTCTCATTTAGTATTTTCAGAAAATGAAATTTTTGATAAGTAAGAAAGCGATTTCCAAAGTTTCTTACCTAGTAAACTATTTCCAAAATTGATAAGTCGTTTGGGCCATCAGTAAGTCTTTTGAGTATGATGAGTAAATCCTTCGGGTCATTTGATAGTCTCACTTGTGACAACATCATGATGGAACTAGACAAAAATGCATTGTCTTTTTTTTGTCTTTTCCTTATTCTTGTTAACACAAGCATGAGCAAAAAGGGGCAACTGTAGACACCCGTTTTGTCCAAGTTTTTAGTATTATTATTATTACTATTATTATTATTAATTATTTTTATTTTTTATTACATGCCTATTACAACAAGCCCAACACAAGCATGCCCAAATTACAGTAAGACCCAACCCAATGGCCCAATTGCAAACCCTAGGCCCAACATTACACAAACCTTGGCTAGCCCTAAAATTAGAGTTAGTCACCAACGACACTGTCACCAATAGGATTCTCACCCGCGTCGCGCTGCATCGCCGTCGAAGCCACTTTCGCCGCCGCCAATGATTCCCAAGCAGCTCTTGTCAGTAAACCCAACCAAATCTCACAAAATCAAAAAATATATAATAATAATAATAAAACAAAAACAAGCAATCGATCCCGAAAAATCTGGGATCCCCATTCCTCTACCGACCAACCCTAGCCTTAGCCCTCATGTCTCCTCTGTCTTCATCAAACTCCAACCACCATGAAGAAGGAAGCAATAACAATAAAAGAGATGAGAAAGAAAAGAAGTTAAAAAAACATAAGGGGTTGAGCAAAAAGAAAGAAAAAACAGGAGATCGATGGGGAACTTTTTTCGAATTCGAAAAGCAGAGGGAGAAAAGAAAGAAAAAAAGAAAACAGAAAGAAAAAAGGTATTTTTTCGGATTTGAAAAACAGAGAGTTCAAAAAAGGAAAAGGAAAAAAGAAAGAAGTTCAAAAACAAAAAAAAAAAAGAACGAGAGAACAGAGAAAATAAAAAAAAGGAAGAAACCTCACTGTTGGAGTCGAATTGCCCTGCTTTACCGACGTTGTGGGATCCCTAAGACACTAAAGGTAGTTTTTTTCGTCATGGATTTTATTTTGAGATAATGGGAGGGGTGATTCCATAGTTTAGGAGTCTGTTTTTTTAGGGGTACAAAAAAAGGAGAATATGAGGCTGATGGTCCCTCATTGGGATTGTTGATGGTGGCCAGAGAGGAAACCTTTTAATCTCTTAGCGGAGAGAAGGAAAATGAGGGGGAAAGAGATGAAAGAAAGATTGAAAACAGCATGGGGGCATGAAAATATTAGGTTTTCTTTAGTTATAATAAGGTATATATATCAGATAAAACGACGCCATTTTGGTATTCTAGGGCAACCCAGTTTGGGTTTTATGGGTTAATTGCCTAAGGAGTCATCCGAATTTTTGTACATTTGCAATTTGGTCATCAAATGTAAACTTTGCTTAGTGGCATTTGAATTTCAAATTTTACTGGCTTTACATTTTAGTCACCATATATATAGTTGATGTTACTTGGGTAAACTACTCGAATGGGGTCTTCAAATTTGTGAAGTTGCAATTTTAATCCCTGTTAAAAGGTTTTTAGAGGTTTCGATTTTGCCTCTTCATTTTGCGTGTGTTACAGTTTGGTCACCTTTAGTTATTTGATTTTGCTTATTTTAATTTCCAGCTTGTAATTTTAAATACTTTTATTTTAGTCCCAAATATTTATGGTTTATTTCCATTTCCTAGTCTTTGTATGTTACAATATTTACGTTTAGATCCTTATCTTTGTCATGTTTTTTATTTTACCTTTACAGTTTCAATTTCTTTTTATTTATTTAATCATGAATGGTATATTTGATTTGTATACTATTTCATAAATTTATTATATTATTTATATTGATATGATCTTCATATAATATGTCTTTATTTATATATATATATATTCCTTGTATTTCCAATTTACATGTATATATTATATTTTTTTAAAATTTATATATGACGTGTATGTAATAAAATTTATATTTATGTTTTTAAATTATTATTTTATTTATATGATATACTAAGGTAAGGTATGAACTAATTTTTATTAAATATTTTTATGTATAGGTTTACCATTAAGTATTATATATTATTATATTTATGTGATGCATGTACATACAGGTTTAGGTTTTTAATTTGAATTAAATTGTATGAAACCCTTATAAGCATGACTTGACTTGAATTAAAATAATTTGACTAAGGATAATATTCGTTCATTTTAAGATTATTGTGAAGTGATTGTCTTAACGTATATGAAAGTTGCTTTCGGTCATTTTTAAAATGAAAATGTATCCTATTAAGTGAAACCTTAAAATTTGACTACGCGTAAAATTTGGGAATGTGAGAAAAAGAAATGTTTATCTATTTAAATATATCGAGAAAATATCATTAGAACTTATAAAAAGTTCGATCTCTATGTCTTTAAATAACCTTCTTTCTGAAAGAATTGGTAATTCGTATTTAATTAATTTTTGTCATCATGTATGCATTCGAATTAATAATGAATTTTAGAATGGAATTGTAATATTTATTTATTTTGATTGGAGTAAGAAATGACTGCTTTAAGGCAAAATAAATCATTTTTTCTCGATATGAAATAATTAAATATTGTTGTTTTTCATCCTAAAATTCAAGAAACGTGTTTTAAAAAAAATCTTAAATTTAATTTGTTTTATTTTATTTTATTGTTATTTATTCATTTGAATTTGGAATTAATAATGAACTTTAGGATGATATTGTAATATTTCTTTATTTCGATTGGAGTAGGAACTGACTACTTTAAGGCATGAGAGATCAATTCTTCTCGATAGGAAATAATTAAATATTACTGTTTTTCATTCTAAAATTCAAAAATTATTATTTATATGGGATCTTGAATTAAATTAAACTTGAATTCATAAATTTCATGACAAAGACAACTAATTGATCGACTAGGTATCAATTTAGGGCATTGTGGGGCTGATAATCCTTCCCACGCGTAACCGACTCTCGAACTCAAATTTTTTGTAACACAAACCGTAATTTTTTTTTAATTAAAATTAATATTTTTATTAAAATGAAAAATATGCTTTTGGTACTCAATCACAACCTAATCAAATATTTGTGACAACTTCTCGAACCATTTTTTTATTTTTTTAAAAAAAAAACACCAAATCAATCGAGACGAGATTTTTTAAACCAATCACTTAAAAATTAAATTTGTTTTTAAGAAAAATCGTTTCGACATAATAAATTGTGTTGGTAAGGTCGCCCTTGCCTTTGTAGTACCCAATACGGATTAGTCGATTAATAGATCGGATATAAGTGGTTATACCAAAAAAATACAAATAATACAAAGCTTAAATGAATATAGTGTTGCAAATTTTGGAAATAAAAGAAAAGAAATGCACACCGGCTTTTACTTCTATGAGGTTGAAGATGTACATCAATGTTACATAGCTTACAAAATTAGGAGATGAGGGTAAGCAATGCCTAAGCTGAAGAATGAAAGTAAAAAATTATAAAGAGAACCAAATAAAAAGGAACAAGGCAAGACCAACAAACTTACAAATAAGACAAGGGATTGGTATATAGCTTAGCTATGGCTAACAAGAAAAACCTGAGGACTTGATCTACGGCATACATACGAGGGGCTATACCTAGGCTCGCCTAACCGGCATAGACAAAAGGAGTCAAAGGACTCGCACCTAAAAACACTAAAGCCTCAAACAGGCTAGTAACAACGGGGTATTTATAGAAAATTAAAAGGATTGAAGAATCTACAGTTCGAGGTCGAGAACCGGTTTTAGTCTTCTCTCCACTTCGGTGCTTTGTAGATCAATCTCTTCCAGGATCATAGATACAGCGGTTTTGCAGGATTCGTCGTCCCTGAAAGCTAGGGTCCATCTTCCGTCGATTAGAGATTTTATCCTCGTTTCACCGGGCATGCTAGATTTAGGAGGATCCAAGAAGGGCAATGATGATGGACGAATACGCAAGTGTAGCCATCTTGAATGCTTATCATCTATTATGGGCTGAAGATTTGAAGACATTAGCACAATTACCCAGAAAGGACAAAAATTATGAATGACATGATATCTGCCCTCGACGTTCAAATCATAAACAAACAAAAGTAGTACTTCGGGTTTTGCAGCACACAAGTTCTAGTTGTTGACCAATGAAAGTAAATACAGATCGTGTTCAATTATTTTAAGGCATAATAGAGCTACAGATTGTTCAATTATTTTAAGGCATAATAGAGCTACAGCAATCTTTTTTTAATAGAAAAGGTGCCTTGTTAAAACCACTGTTCGGAGTAGGCATAGCAGAAAAGGGGTGCACCCGTGTGGTCTTCCATTGATCACAACAAATCAGTACAAAACCAAGGACTAATAAAAGGTGATGGTTCATGCCACCACAAGATATTTTTTATCACATCCTAGAGAAGTGAGTTTAGCAAGATGACAAGCTAGGGACGAATACAGTAATCAATTTTTAATTTAAATAAAAAAATTAAAAAGGAAAATGATATATATAATATATTAATACTTACTAAATACGGTACAGGTTGATTCAGGTCCAGGTCAAATTTGTTTTGCAGTTTTGGTTGGGCAGGTATTTTGTGCTATAGGTTTTGCCAGCTCTTGGGCCTTAAGATGTACCAAGACCAACCTCAACTCATTCCTAGTTCCCAATCTCACTAATTATGCTAAAAGCCTAAAAATCCTAAGCTGTTATTTCATACCGGAACTAAAGCAAATAGAACAGGCACAAGCATTCGATCAAGTGCATACAAGTTCTCTGGCATCTACTATGAAATTCACAACAGAATATATAGCTGAGCTTACATTTGTTCCAGCCAAGGGAGCAGCAACACGAACTATGCCATAATTCTGCTTCAGTGGTAACTCTTCAGCAAGAACAACCCATCCCAATGTGCCCACAGAAACTGCTAGAAAATGGAAATGACGCTCTTTGCCCCTTCCAAATGCAATCCGACAAGGCAGTGCATGAACTGCAATGGCAGTGACAGAGTTAGGGAATCGGAAATCCCAATTGCTTAAATAGAACAAGTCAGATTTTTTTTTTGGGGTAAATAATTGAAAGTGATTGAACAGAGTGAACACAGTGCATTACACACGCTCGCATAATTACATATAGAGACAGAACAGACCAAGTCTTATTTCAGTGCCTGGCTTCAGACCTAAAACATCCAGACCAACTGCCTTGGCACGAGATGTTTCTGGGATGTCAATTGAAGGATGGATAGGAGGCTGTTCAGGCGAAGTTCTACCAAGGGAGAACATTTGAAGCTGATGAAGAAGTACAAATACCTAATATAGAAAGGTTAGAAATATTAGCAACCTAATGCAATCAGAATGCTGTAAAGCCATGCTGATGGAATAAAAAGGCTAGACTGTTAGAATCTATAGACCATCAAAAGAAAATGACATTTCTATAGCAGACTAACATTAAGCATAGTCACATTGATAAAAAAAAAATATTAATTTGATTTATACAGAGAGTATATATACAAACCTTCACCAAATCACACATCCTCTCACCAGCAGCAAAGGATGATTCCGCAGGAATATCTGTACATGTAAAAATGAATATTCCACATTCCAGAAAAATAATAGAAACAAAGTTAGAAAAATGGTTTAAAACCATCCCATTTTTGAAAAGCAGTCAATCCTACCTTCAGAATTCAATTTCTGAAATGGCAAAAGTATGCACTTGGGCTCCTTTCGAGGGGATGAAGCCTCAATAGCTACAATAAACTGTTTTAGTCAAAAATATGACCACCAAAATCACTATTTACTGCATTAACTTCTTAGAAGAATACCTCTTTTGCAGTTTTTCCACTGATCACAAAACACCGTTATAAGGACATCAACCCAAATCCCTTTAGTCTCCTGTAGAAGAGCACTTCTGCAATTCCTATACGAGTCCTGCACATAATAAGAACGTTCACTAATAGCTCATACTGAAAAGAAATTTTATAATATAGTAAAAAAAGTGAAGTGCATAAACCAATAAGAAGAATTTGCATAAATTTTCAAATTAGAAACATAATAGAAAATGTTATTATGAAGTACGTTGAAGATGGCTGAGGAGGAATTTTTCCTAGTTTAGGTTTATATGATTTGTATTTATGTATATATACATTACACATGCTGTTTATAAATGAAACAGAAAAACTCTTTCAAATCAAAACGATTACCGTCATTAATAATATCACAAAAGTCTGATATAAACGAAGCTAGAATGGTAAGATTCCTTGAATTTGAGGCAGTAATACAATTCCTACTATATCCTGTATATTCAGAGACATATCACTCACCTTCGACAATTTAAGATGATAGCTTTTGAACTCTGCCTCACTATAAGGAAGCAGTTGTCGCAAAAGCCAACCAGCATCCCACAAAATTTCTGTAGGTATATTTGACCGACAAAGAAGCTTGACCAATGCATCAAGAACCTACAATAAAAAAATTAAACTTCAAAAGTTCTTATGATTTTCATATCACAGAAATATGTATTTACAATCTTGGCCTTTGTTCCTTTTATTATTACTTTTCCCCCAAAAAAATTTTAAAGTAAATATAGGGATGGTCAAGGGGATGGATTTATGAATTCTGAAGTAATACTTCTGCATATAATTATATATTTGTTTATTTGAACACTTTATGCAATTGCATAGCATGTTGTTTTGTTCACATTATTTTTCATCGGGTTAAATCATAATTTGTAATGCAATTATCATGATGGGTTGATGCAAGCATCATCTGTATATTACATTTAGATGTTGAAAATATCAAATTGTGATTGTTTGGAATCAAATACTCAAAAAAGATCGTTTACAAATTTTGTATTATTAATCTATCTGTGGCTGTGAGTTAAAACCACAATCAATAAAGTCAATTTTACATTTGTAAGTTACTAGTTAGTAACCATTTACGTTATGCAACTTCTGTACAAATAAAACATATATTTCTGAAAAAACCCTGCAGCCTTGTTAGGATTTCTTTTACAAAATAATTATATTTCAAATTTTATTTAATCATTGATATTATCCTTGATGAACATTTGAAAAATATTTATAATTTTTATTTTCCACATGATAAAAACAAACAGAATATCCTTTTTCTTTGAGTGATTATAAAATTGCAACAAAAATTGGATAAGTGCATAAAATAACAATGAAACAATCACAGGGTGAACAATTTGTAGCCCCTAGTTTAGTAGAGCAAAAATACCTGGTTTTTATGCATACGAGGACTTGCTCCTGCTCCTACAATAGACACTCCGTATTGTTCCTATTAACCAATGAAGGAAAAATAAATTACACAAAAATCATACTTTAACCTAAACCCAAGAGCCACAACTTGCAACATGACAGGTAAGGTGTTGTAGTTATTAATCATTATGAAATCTGTGCGTACTGCTATCAGTTCAATGAGAAAACCTTCCCAAATTTAATGCAACAACAGATGTCAATCAGTTGCAGATATTAAGGACTTAAAGTACCGTAAATCTACCAATAGAGAAAAAGAGAATTAAGACTGGAGAAAACTTGGCAAATAAAAGATAAATAGATGGTACCTTTTGAATAGCAAGCTAAAGAACTATTGACATTAATGACATCCTATTCTGACTTTTAAGTTGCAAAATAATCAAATCCACAACTTAAGGTTAAAAACTGTATACTTCTTCCGACTGTCTTGTTTTCTTTTTTTCTCAGATACTTCTATTTTTTTTTTCAAAATTAGCATTCAGAAAGCACTAAATCTATTAGAAGATCCCTGGTAAGGTTAGATCTCAATTCATACTACAATCTAGCTTTAGGTTTGATCTCTTAAATGTTATTAAAAGGTGGAAAATGCACTCTAAATCCTAGGACTCTTCTATACCCCAAGGAAAATGGGAAGGGGGGAAAACCACCTACAAGGCTACACCACAAGTAAAACAATCAGATAGCAGTAGACCAACAATAAATGAACACCAAGAACAATTTCTCTATGATACCCTAGCTTGGGATGCTAAAGTGAATAACTTTTATCAGTTCACACTCCTGATAAGGCAACCAAAGAAACCAACATAGAAATTGTTCGTAGCATTAATGGATAAATTAACAATCAGAAGGAAAATTATTCACTTTATCTACATTTTTCTAGGCACAATTTCTTTTTTTTACTTTCTTTTAAGGGTATACATGAGTGCGTATAGATATAGAGAAAGAGAACAATACCTTCAACTTTTTTAAATATCCATCAAGCTCAGTACTAACACCATCTCTTGGAGAGCCACCTTCAAAAGAAAAAAGTTGCTCTTCACCTGAGCCCTCACCTACCAAAGCTTGCTGCCAAAATTTAAGACAAAAGGTTCAACACTTCAATCAAATTGATAAAAGGAAATTAGGTACAAAATGACAAGCGCAATAAATCTCTAAGTTTTTTATTTCTCTTAGGCGTGCATTCATAGGTGTTAAACTAATCTTCACAAATTGTTTTTTTTTCCCCAAAAAATACTTGCACCTGGTTCTGCTGTCCATGCATGTGAGACATTATTAGACTCCACTAGGGAGCAATGAAATAGTGCTTATCATTATGAACCATCTGATAATCCTTGAGTATTGAACTATAGGTCACTGATGAATTTTCATGAAAAAATCATAGGAAAATAAGCAAAACTTTTAGAAATCACATGCTAAGACAGAGCTCACTATTCCCTCTGAAAGATCATGACTTTACATTAAAACTTACCAGTAAGAGTCTTTTGTGTTGTTTGCGCTGGGGAAGAATACCAAGAAAATCTAGCATTGATTCATCCAATTCTACAATATAAATACTCAATAAGAAAAGAGCAATATAAATGAAATAAGTGATGTAAACTTCCTCATCATTATTACCCTTTGTTTGTAACAATGTAGCCAACACATTCAAAGCTCCCAGGGCTCGTGCATCATCTCCATCAGTGATATAAGAAAGCAAAGTCTCCCTAGACATAACATAAATGCAAATCCAAAATTAGACCATATGCAACACAAACAGTTATGAAAAATAACCTACAATGGAGATCATTAATTGCTTTTGAAAAGGGAAAATAATTAAAAAAGAAAAATTGTTTTTCCTTGATATTATGTTTTTTTACACAGATTAAGTAATAGGTATTGGCCAAATATGCTTCTTCAGAACCAAAAGCGGAATGAGGGTTTTAAAGGATTGACCAAGTGCCAACAATGAAACAGATCATCCAAGAAATAAGTTGCCATCTGTCTATGACAAAGTACCGTTCCAAGTAGCACCATGCACAGACTTCAATAAGAAAAAAATGATTGCGCAAAGACTGCAATAATGGATCCTTTTAGCTTTTGTATTTTGTACCACAGAAATGGTAAATTTCCTGAATTTCAAATGGTTATCTACTTGCCTTATGCTACATGTCAGTAAGTTTGGAGTTCAACAATCAAGCTTCCTTACAGGGTATCTCTCAACTTGGAGAGAATTTACCCAGTCATGATCTACAGAACTTTTTTTTATATTTTACTCCAAAAATTTTTGCAAGAACCTTTTTGTACTTCTAGATTTTCTCATCTAAGGTAACTTAGAGACCCAAACCATCTAGGTCATGCTATGATTAACTATTTGTTGGGATCTATATTACCAAGATCAGCTAATAAAAGGCTTCATATTTAGCTCTATGATTTGGTCATTATTGAACAAGAGTTCTGGTTTGCTTTATTTGTTTCTTTTCCTTCTTACCCTTAATGCTTGCAAATCAAGTCCCATCACTCATAATATTTCTTACCATGCCCCCTGAATAACAAATCTGCTTTCTAATTTGACCTTTATCTGACTGCTCTTTACAGGTTCATCAACTATAGGATAAGTCGACCAACAAAAGCTACAAAATTACTTCAATTAAAGATTCTTATCCTTGCATTAAATTTACTCTACTTTTATTAGAACAAAATCTGCACTCACAAATGGAAATTAGAGTTCAAGGCAGAGTGAATAATGAAATAGAACAAAAACCAAAAAGCAAAGTAGCATGATAACTACAATTAGACTGAAGACAGAAATGAACTTAGCCTTAAATTTCAAGATAAAAAGAACCATAGTTCTACCGCTGTTAAGGCAGGAATCAAACAAATTCAGACTCATGATGCCGGTACAGAAATCAATAACCAAAATTATAATTACCCTGATTAATGATTATTATATCAGACTGTAAAGTTAAAGGCCAAGTTCAAAAGGCAAACATATTTTATCCTTTATCAAAATAATTACATATCCAAAATAACGAAAGATTTATGCAAAAGAATTACAGCAAGAAATAATGAATTTTTTGACTTATGAATTGGAATTATTTACTGTGGATTTATTGCTAATAAATGTTTTAAATGATAGAAAACAGAGCAGGAAATGTAAAACATATATGATTGAGCAATGGGCTGTAATTAATGAACATATATCTTACCTCAAAGAAAAATGTGAACGAGATAAACTCCTCTCTGCAATAATGCCTTCAGGATGAACATGTGAAGAACTAGCCTTGTTTGGTATATCAACACATAATTGTCCAGGAGTAACACTATCACTGTGTGGCTCTTCATTTTCATTTGCACGATTATTTCCAGAAACACAGCCATTGATTTTAGCTTCAGAATTAGCAGCAAAGACCTCCAGTGGATATAAAAAAGCTGCAGCAACGGTGTTCGCCAGATCTTTGATTTTCACAACCCGCAAGATGCAACAAAGTAGGTACAAAGAAGTGATTGCACCTATCTTCAGGTTCTATATTAAGGGAATAACAAAAAACAGTTAGCATCTCTACAAGTCAAAGGACAACTTTCAAACCGCAGAAAAAAACCCAACAACCAGGGTTTTTTCTCTTTTCATTTCAGTATCCAATTCCAGAACAAACAAAAAAGGAAGGAAAAAGCTTCATACACTGTCAGCATCTATTTGAAGTGCTGGAAACAGCAAAGGAAGTATCAAAAACTGCAAAATGTTGTCTGTTATCAAACTCCCAACAACAGGAATCCCAGCAGAGATAACATCACTAAAATAGTAGAGATTGTCCTCAATTTCATCCACTGTAGCAAGTATCGCAGAGACTGACTCCGAGCATGGGTTTCTGTCTCAGCCACAATACCTATCATGTTAGGAAATAAAAGGACTTCTGTTGTTTCCAAATAAAGATTATTACTCGGAAACTTACTTTGGATATTCGAGAACCAGTTTGCTTAAATTGATGCACTGATCCCGGAAAAATGAGACCAATTTAAAAAAATATTCAGAATGTGGGGCACTGGTAATGAACTTATTGACAAAATCATCTTCAACTGGATAAAAAAGACGCATCAGAATATAAGATCATTAGTTCTAACAGAAATGTATTAGAATGGTATAAATACGAAACGAACAGACAAGGAACAAAATTAGAAAAATAAAAACCAACCATGATAGACATTCAGTGTTAGCGAACGCACTGCCGTGCGGATCATGCTTTCTTCATTAAAAGCAAACCGTATTGCCTCAACATACAATGGGAAGGAAACTACTTCTTCCTAGAAAACAAATGAAAAATATAAGAAGTCACACCAATAGGAAGTAGATCGAAAAAGAGAGGTATCAAAATATTCCATGCATAATAAGGAGAAATGCTTACATCTTCAGTTTTCACAAGCAAAGAAATTGTGTTCTTGTTTAGCTTCCCACTTATTGCTCTTCACAAGCGCAGCATGCCAAATAAAGTACCATTGTTATATATAAGAAAAGAAAGAAGAAGCTTTTTCCTTTTAAGACTTAAAGAGGTTAGGAAATTAATAAAATAAGAAGCCAAGTATAATTATGAGTTCAGCCGAAAGAAAAGAAAAGAAACCTTAAGAATGATATATAGTAAGAAAGTATCTCTTCATTGCGGAAGTCAAATGAATAAGTTATTAGGCGGTTAACATGTTCATTACTGAACATATAGTCTGCAAAATTTTCACGAGGAAAATCAGTAAAATCATCCAACAGTGTTAGAATCAACTAAAAGGACCAATCACCAGGAAATCTTGTTCTTTCATCAACAACCAACTTACATATGGCATGTTCTCTTCTTAGGTTTTGAATCAAAATACTTATTGTTTGAAGTAATTGAAGAGAAACTGTCACAGTTTTGCTAATATTCAGTATACGTATGAACTCTCCCATGACTTGCTTCTCCATGAAAAAACTGCAAGGAGAATGTATGACATAAAAGTGCTGAAACCAGAAATGTGAATCATATAGATATTAAGCTTGAAGAAACCTCACTCGAAGAAGGACGGATCATGTTGATCGCCATATGTCAACAACTCCGCAATAGATCTCAATGCCTCAATAACGAAATCCTTCATAACAATAAAATTATGAGGACAGACAATACATGGTAAACTATAACTGCAGTAATGAAAATAGTAAAGAAGTATGTTTCTGTTACCTTATTAACTTCATTAATAATTTGAACTTTCTGCAGCTGGTTCGTCAAATATCTGCATGCTAGGAGACACGACAGTTAATCTAAAAGCACGCTTCCAAATTCAAAGATACAAAAGTCCAACCAAGATTTCAGGAGCCATCAAGCTACACTTCAAGGGCTGAGATTAAACTGGAAATATTACATGCTTTTCAAGGAATTCCAAGCAGCATTTCAACGTCACCAAAGCTATCCGAATCTTACTAACAGAAAAGAAATAAAAACAACACTATATTTTATTTCCACATGGCTAATCACTGCCTAGGGTATTCATAATATATGACATTTTCACATTTAATTCCCAGTTTGGTTGTCTACTTCACCGCATGCTTTTTATTTCCTGTAAAATTTCTATAAAAAGCATAAGCAAATTGAAGAAGAAAGAAGCATATTTGATTAAAAAAGAAAGGAACAAATAACAAAATATAAAATATAAAATTTTAAAACATAATGGTTTATTCATGTTATGCTATTCACAGAACTTGAAAATTAAAATTCTTTTTCTTTAACAGAAAAAAAAGGCAGCAACAAGGGAAGCAGTACTACTGAGAAATTGTCTAAACTAAATTCAAATTCTATCGACACGATAAGTTAAATTATTCAGGAAGATCATATAATTAGATCCCCCATATTACAAATAAATGAGAATAAATTAATCGATTAAGAGAAAAAGAGAAGATAAAACCTGAGTTCGTCTAAGGAGAATCGATCTCTGGATCTCCAAAAGGATAGCCACATGATTGGTTCCTCAAACTTCAAAAATTGGCTCATCACTATTCATTCTTGCTCCGCCGTACAATTTGTTCTCACTAATGCCGAAGCCCAGAAAAGGAAAACAATAAAATCTGCTTCAATCTCCTCAATTAATAGTTTCTTTCATCAGTCAAGGGATCTCGATCCAGCACAAGTTGTGCTAGAAAAACCTTTTCTTTGTATAATTCGTAGCCAAAAAGTGGAATAAATTGAAAATATGGGGGTTGGTTGAGAATATTATTATTAGTTAGCAGAATTCAATTGGATTTGAAAAAATATTGATCCATTAAATAGAATTTGATTAACTTTTTTAATTCAAATTGAATTAATATTTTTTGACAAAATTTTGAATTAATATTTAAATTTAAAGCCTGAGTGAATTTAAATATTATTATTTTGTTTTTATTTTTTGGAATTGAATATTATCATTTTATTACTTTTTCAATTTTTATATTAAATTAAATTTTATTAAATTTGAACTACAAATTAATAAAGTATAATAATGCATAATTTTAACTTTTTTATCATATTTTATTTAATTTGATATTCTAATTAAAATTATGGATCTGTTTGTTTCCCCGTAATTGGTTTTTCGAAAAATATTTTCCTCATTTTTCAGTGTTGATTGACAGAAGACAGTTGGTCAATATAATTCATTTTACTGGTCAACTGAATTTCTTTTCCATTTTCTAAAAATGACTTACCATCTGATTTCTCGTAAGTTATTTTACGAACTTTTTACTTTAAAGCATAAACACTCAAATTATTATTTTATATATGTAATATTAATATATTATTTTAATATTATTTTAATATTATTTTAATAAAAATATTAATTATTAAATTATATTTGTTTATAATTTTAATAATTTAATATTATATTTTATTGTTATAGTTATATTTTTATAATGTATAATATTATACTTTTATTTTAATAATATAAAATAAATTATTAATAAAATTAAAATTATTTATTAATTTCATAAAATTAATATTTTAATTATTTAATATTTAATATATACTCTTTAAAATATAATACAATATTCTTATTTTAATATTATAATTTTTAATAATTTAATAATAATATTATTTTAATAAATAATTAATATAATTAATAATATATTATTCTATTTTAATAAATAATTAATATAATTTATAATTATTTTATTTTAATAAAATATAACAATCATAATATTTGTATTTATAAAATTGTAGATATAATATTTAATAATAATAATGACATAAATAACATTAAATAAATTATTCTAATATTTAAAAATATTTATTATTATTTTATTAATAAATAATAGTATTCATTGTATTTGATGTTTATAATAAAGAATTTTAAAAAAATTACAAACCAGTGGAAAATGAATTACACAACGTCATTCAAACACCGTAAAATATTTTTCAGAAAATGTTTTCTAGGAAATGTAATTCATTTTACGAAATTCATTTTTCGGAATCTGTTTTCCGTTAAACAAACGAACCCTCTATGTAAGTTCTTTATGCATATCAGTCTCTTTATTTCTCCATTGATATTCTATCTTAGAACTCATTCTGTAAAAACTAATATTGTAAATATATTAGATAATTTTATATTAATAAATTATATTTATAAATTATTTTAAAATATATAAAAATAAAATAAAAAAGATACATGTGTATATCGTTTATGATTAAAGAGTTTTTTATTAAGCTAAGATGATTACTACTCAAACATTTGACAATGAACACTCAATCACTCTGCTACAGCCGTTAGTACTCAAACCTATAACCTCTAAGAACAACAATGATTCCTTTAACCACTGAGGTAGATTGGTTCGTATCATTTATGGTTAAAGAGTTGCTTAAATTAAAACAAACAAATATCACAACATTATAAATAATTAATATATATATATATCAAATAATATAGGTAAGTACATGGCGGTATTTGTTCAAAGATAACTTTCAACCTTTTGACATTGATAGTTCATGTAACACCCTAAACCAGTACGACAAACAATTGATTTATTAGAGTGATATATGGAGACACCGAAGTGGCTAACCCAAAAAATAATTCACTTTAAAACTACTATTTTCATAATAAAATCAGCCATAAAATAAATGTAAACTTTACATAGCTCTCAAAATAAATAATTACATTTAAAACATATACAGATCAACTCTTAAATAAGTTTACGACTCAACTTTAAAACAATGTTTATGAATTATAAATGCCCTTCAAAAATTTGAGACGTACTCTAATTTGCACTTGGTCTGGACCTCAGTCTCCAAAGCTTCTCAACTGTTCCACGTAATTTGTGTAAGGAAACAAATTCTAAACGCTGAGCTAACTAGCTCGGTGCCACATTAATAACTAGAACATACTAAAAGTGTACCAATAAAATGCTCAAGCTATCAAGTCTACTGATTTAGTGAGTATACTCGTGTACTCACTCTCTACTCTATGGTAGACATCGGGGCTGAGGGTTCTACATCTTGGAGTTCCACACACCCTCTAGTCTACCAAGGATGATTGCCTGAAATCTCTGCATCATTCAACACCCTCGACTAACCCACCCCTTGCTAGTGTCGGACTTTGGCCCTAGTTAGTTAGCTTAAAGTGCCTTGCACACTCCCTAAGGATATGGATTGAATCTATACTTTCGACACTGCTAGCTTTTCTAAAGAAACTCAGTTGTCCTTATCATTTCCCAAGCATTCAAACAAGGCTAGTCTTATTTCATCCTACATTATCTTGTTTCTAAGTTTGATTAAGCATTATGATTGTTCTCACTTGTAGTCTTATCCGGGAGTAATTATTAAGCTTTCGGGAAACCTCACTTTTCTTTAACATATCTCTTCTTTATAGCCCAAAACCAAGCTTTAGTATCGATATTGGCCTTACAGTATCAATAATGTCTCTTCAGTATCGATACCTACCCAAGGTATCGATACCCTAACACAGATTTACCTTGCAAAAAAATGGGAAGTATCGATACTCATGTGGGAGTATCGATACTTGGACTTTGGATCGATACTCCCTAGAGTATCGATACCAAAATGGCATTCTAGAATCTTGGTTTCAATACCAAATACTCAGTCTCGATACCAAACCCTTAATATCGATACACCTATAAGGGGTATCGATACTGCCCTTATAACTCTATGAATTTTTGCATGAAACATGAATAGTATTGAGACTGCTTCTTACAGTATCGATACTCACCTTAAGTATGCCCTAATTAGGCATGAAATTACCCTTTAAACTTCCCGAATTTACTACGTTAAGGTTTCCCAATCATTATTAATATCTTATGTGATCATAGGGTAATAAATAAGGCTTTAACACATGCTAACAACATCAAATATAATATCTACCATGAAACGAATCACTAAGCTTAATAACTTACTCTCAAGTTATAACTTATTTCTAATAACCCACAATCGGTACGAGGAAGTTGTGAGTCTGTTACTTGGCTTCCTTGGCTGCTAAAATCTCTCTCAACTCAACTAGGAAATCATATTTCCTTTATCTTTTGAACTCTCTCCCACCTCCTTCTCTAATTAAGGCAAGAAATGAGTTACCAACTAAACTAGGTTTTAGATTTAACATAAAAACACTCTCCATAACTCGAATCTACCAAAACTGAGCTTAAAACACATGGTTCCTTTCAAACTCCCAAAAACCCATTTTCTAAAACCAACACCAAAACTTGAGATTAAGAGCTTCAAATGAAGCTTAAGGGATGAAGGTTAGGACTCTTACCTTGGTTGATTCAAACTAAACTTAAGATTCCAAAAGCTTGCTCCTTTTTAGATGTTCTTGGAGAGAAAAGAGAAGAGAAAATGGAGGAGTATTTGGGAAGCTTGGGTTCACGTGAAATCCTCTAAATATAAGGTGGTTTTATCCTTTAAAACAAACAATGGTTAAATTACTCTATTGGTCCCTCTATTTTTTTCACCAACCTAAAACCATCATTTACCTTAACTTTTGGGCTAAACTTAAGCCCAATACCCTTTTGAAAAGGTCCAAACTACTTGAGGAGATCTAATGGGCTCGAATTATTGGTCTTGGGTTGACCCAAACCTGGGAATTTGGGTATTATAGCTCATACCCTGGCGTCTATGGTGCTCGAACCCGAGTCCTCAATGAATAACAACAATTCCTTTACAACGGAAACTACTTTGGCACGTGCAACTAAAAATTATATTTAAATAAAAATTCAAACAAATATATTTAATTCAATTTGACTCAAAAACTCTAAAATTAATTTAAAAATTATAAATAAAATTTAAATGAACATTGTATGAAGATGTCAACAGGAAAAAATGACTTAAATTTTTAATCGTATTGTCCCTACCGAAAAATCACCCTTAATATAAAATATTATATGTCAGGCATCCTTTCTTCAAATATTATCAATCTAGCACTCTTTCTGACATAGAGATAATAAAGTGTGTTTCAGGGGGCGCGTTTTTTGTACGTGGATGGAAGGTGCGTTTTAGGGGCTGCGCCTTCTTGGGGTTTTGTCCAAGTTGGTGCCACGGTGAGAAGGCGTGTTCTTGGGGAAGCACTTTCGTGGGAAATTATGAAGGCACATTGCATGGGCGCACCTCCATGGAGAAATTCTGACACAAAGAAGGTGTGTTGGAGAGGGCGCACCTTCCATTATTCACCTTCAATTATTGCCCTTTCCATTATTACCCTAGCTATCCCTTAAATCATGGTTAACCCATCCTTTTCCCCTTATAAATACCCCCCGAATCCAAATATCAAACCACAACAAAATTAAATTCATATTCTTCTTTCTATAAATTCCTTCTATCAAGCCAAGTAAATTTTTTATAGTTTTTAGAAGGTAAGACCATTTTTTATTATATTATAATTTATTTAATATATAATTATTTTGCCAAATTTTATTGTACTAATTATTTTTATTACTTTTTTAAGGTTGTAAAATGGAAGGTGGGGTATTACGATTGGATAATGATCATATCTCATGACATTTTACCGATACGGTAATAATATTAAATTATGTTATTTAAAGTATTGTGATAATTTTTTAAGCATTAGTTTATATTTTAATTTGTATATTATTTATTTAATTAGGTGAATGGTCGTATATTAGAATCATT